GCTCCCTGGGCCTCCGCTCACAGACATCGAGTACGCAGACGACATAGCTCTTCTGGGATCTGACCCCGTGGCAATGCAAACAATACTAAATAATCTAAATAATTCTGCCTCGCGGTTTGGTATGCGCTTCACACCTGCAAAGTGTAAAGTGCTACTACAAGACTGGGTGGGCTCGAACCCTAGCTTCATGCTTGCGGATGAACCGATTGAGGTAGTAGACAAATTTGTTTGCCTGGGCAGCTGTATCAGTCCCGGTGGTCTCGAGAAAGATGAAATTACCATCCGGATTGGGAAGGCCAGAGCAGCTTTTGCGAACCTACGTCACCTGTGGCGTAGGCGTGACATCAGCTTCTCTGTCAAGGGTCAAGTTTACAGTGCTGAGGTGCGCTCCATATTACTATATGGATCAGAAACCTGGCCGCTGCGCGCCGAGGACGTCAAAAGACTTTCAGTATTTGACCATCGATGTCTTCGGAGCATTGCCCGAATCTGGTGGGAACACCGGATCAGCAATTCTGAAGTACGTCGAATGGTACTCGGGAGAAATAACTCACCCTCGATAGGTGAACTGATCACACTGCACAGGTTGCGCTGGCTTGGCCACGTGCTGCGTATGCCAGTCGACTGGCTTCCTCGAAGGGCTCTTTTCGCCCAACCATGTGAAGGGTGGAAGAGAGCCAGAGTCGGCAAAACAATGACTTGGCAGCGAAGTGTGAATGCCGTTACCAGCAAATTCAGCTGCGCTGGTCACTGCCATCTTCCTGGATTGGGACCCGGAGACAGGCCACATCAATGGCTAGAGACAGTATCAGACATGGCCTAGTCGGGCCCGAGTACGCGGTTATTACAGCTGACAATGATGATGATGATGATGATGAGTCGCGCCCTCAATGGCGCTCGTGCATCAAAGCTATTGCCTTCAATGCATAGCTCCTTTTCCAACCCCCCACTTGACAGCCCACTGACAGTGCCGGATTCATGTACCAATCAATCATCTCCCGCCTGTTATGCGGAGATACCTACTCCCCCCCCCAAATCATCGGTGAACGAAACTGTGGCAGCTACAACCACTGTATGACGAGTACGCGGTTATTACAGCTGACAATGATGATGAATCGAAAACATTCACCCCCGGGTTTTCGCAGTCCACCAGCGTTAGCTAGGTTCTTGCTTATCCGGCATTCGATGGGTCTGCTTACGCCGTCGTAGTTGTTAGCTGTTAGTACGGCCTTTCTGGCAACAATATGATCCAACCTCAACGGTATCCAGTGTTTATTTGATTGAGTTGGATGCCTCGAGCAAACTGTCCTAAAAGCTGAGGACATAGTTTCTTTCACTGTTTGACTCATCCTCCAACCAATCTTCATCATCAGCGTGATTGTGCGTTTCGATTAAATTTCCAGCGATATCGGTTCGATATTGTGAAGCTACTGAAACCCGTTGATTCAACGGAACTGCCATACTTCGGCATGCGTAGCCCTGGAGAAAAACAGACTGATGGTTGAGCCCACACGACGGAATGACCGGAATCAAGTTCCGTACCCCAGAGGGAACGGTAGTCTTCAGTTGAGACCTGGTGTGTCCAACTGAATCCACGAATGGCTTGCAGTTTATGTACTCCAAGTAAATCGATGTAAGGACTTCTGCTGAATGATCGTAGTGACCTACTACGAACGATGTTCAGCAAATACTAGAAAATCGCTGCCGGTCATCCGTACGCTGGGCATCCACTGCGAAACTACAATCCAACTTAGTCTTTCAACTTTAGTGTTCATGTTTCTCGCCAGGATATCAACATCTGTTTTACTTGTTGATCGAAGCAGTCAAGACAGACCGCGCCAAAACTCATGTTTCTCAACTTCGGTATTTCATCTGAGACAGACACCGTTTACCGCATCGACTTGCACCGGTTTAAATTAGACCAGACAACCACATAGCGGAAAGACGAACGTGCCCTTTCTACACTGTGGCTGAGTGCAAATTCCACGTCACAGCTACCTCAAGCTAATAAAAACGTGAAATATCTGAGTTCGTTCTAAGTGGCTTGATGTGCAAACCGAAGTGGAATTTTGTATGGCTATTTCGGAGACAATGCACAGGAATTGAAAGCAGAGTGTCATTAAGTGATGTCTGTTGCCGAATTCGACACAGATTGCGGACATCGAAAGCTGACATAAGTCATTTTGTTTTAACTGGATGATAGTTTGGACAAGGAACAGTGGTGAATGGACTGGCGGATGGATTAACCGCAGTGGACTGATTGCCTGGCGGGGACGGCATGTGGTTAGGGCCCAGTAAAAGAAGATCTACAGAGGCGAGTGGTATTTCCCGATCGCCCAGGTTGAGGGATAAGGTATGCTTGATGTACCTTTAAGCCCTTGGTTTAAATGAGAGAATGTAGGGTTTTCTCCGGTACGCCGACCGGAGCCTTGGACTCAAAAATTACGACCTACCAAGCAGCTGGTAGTAGGGTTTCCTTGGATGATCCTCCTCTGAGCTCGTGACTCGCTCATTTATGGAGGACTGAACTAGAAAGTGAGGCATGGATGTCATGCTGTCGATGATGATGATAATGATGGTGATGATGGCATGGATGTCTAGCTGTCGGTGCTGTACGAGTAGTAAGACATTTTGGAAAGGAATTCGGCTAAAATTACCATAATCATCATCATCATCGACAGTGTTCAACACCGATGCTTCACTGCCGTAATCCGACTCAAAAGCCTGACTGCAAGGCAGCGGGTGAGTGCCGATATACTCCTTCTACGACACTGCAATTTTTCTCAAATAATACATCGATGTATCTGCTCCAACCCCTAACCTGGAGGATCAGGAAACTGTTCAGCTGACCTGTATCCTCTGACTAACCTGGTATGGGAAACCCTGTGGCTGTCAAAATGAACCCCAAGTGTAACCCAGTGGGTCATAGAGGTACACCAACTGACACATGGTGATGAGATCAAGTCTCTTTGTGGCGTACGGAGTTTTCTGCATGTCTTCTTCAGCTTGGTGCAAACGACAGGTTGATATAAGGTTGGATTTAGTAGGTGCGAAAAAAATACGGAAGTTTGGTGTTGTATCTGCAGTCTGTCTTCAAGGATAAAGTTTCAGTGCCTTTGTGCACTTGGCTAGAGTGGTTACAAAGTATGACAATTAATCAGTGTTAGTGGCATTCATGCTGTTCGTTTCTGTCCAGATTGTTTGACTGTGGAGTTAATTAGGTCCATTCCTTGTCCACTCTCCGACACTGCATTCTCAAATAATACATCGATGTATCTGCTCCAACTCCTAACCTGGAGGATCAGGAAACTGTTCAGCTGACCTGTATCCTCTGACTAACCTGGTATGGGAAACCCTGTGGCTGTCAAAATGAACCCCAAGTGTAACCCAGTGGGTCATAGAGGTACACCAACTGACACATGGTGATGAGATCAAGTCTCTTTGTGGCGTACGGAGTTTTCTGCATGTCTTCTTCAGCTTGGTGCAAACGACAGGTTGATATAAGGTTGGATTTAGTAGGTGCGAAAAAAATACGGAAGTTTGGTGTTGTATCTGCAGTCTGTCTTCAAGGATAAAGTTTCAGTGCCTTTGTGCACTTGGCTAGAGTGGTTACAAAGTATGACAATTAATCAGTGTTAGTGGCATTCATGCTGTTCGTTTCTGTCCAGATTGTTTGACTGTGGAGTTAATTAGGTCCATTCCTTGTCCACTCTCTCTGTTTCGTGTTAGGGTCTTAAAGGTAGCTAGGTACGGAAGCGAAGTATCACTATCAGTGCTGATATTGCTACCACTAATGATTGAACTAGAGATATTTCATTGATTACGGCATGAACCCACTGGCCGAAAGGTCCGTGATTAGAACCCAGCCCCGACACGTCCACCGCTCCTGTATAGGCTTGAACAGCCTGGCAGTACCTCATTCCTCGTGCTTCCTTTGGATGGCTTGGCAGATAGGCACCAGGAGGGTGTTGCATCTGAGCGATTGCCTTCATCATTATTATGTTGTCACTGAGGATGGTAACAATATTGATATTCTGGAAGCATCTACACCAGACCTGCCCTTGAGATGGACTTAAGGTATACTAGGCAAGTTGACTATGCGCTTTTTCTGTGCTCTACGGGCAAATGTTATTTCCTTGTTGCCCAGATTGAAAAAATGATGTTTTGGTTGAAATACTTCACTTTGAGCCTTTGACTCAGGTCTGACCTAAAAGGTGTTTGAAGAATGTCGGGTTTCGTTCCGGGATACCACCCAAAGTCTTCAATACAACAGTCTCATCCACAAACCAGCTAGTTTTAGGGCATTTTTGTGAGGCCCTTCAAAGCGGCTCACTGTCCCGACCAACTTTCCTACAGGGGGTGGCCTATCCTGAGGGCGTGGGGAATAGTGCATGGATGCCTGGCCTTTGATGTTGCGGTACACAATGATTACGTTCAGGATGGTGTGATTCTTTTGTAGTGGTCGTTCGGTCGCAGTGGATAATTTCCTGACAGTCACTTTCAATCACTGACCATGGTGCTGCTCTTACGACCAGTCCATTTCAACCTGGAGAAGGGTCAAGTCGCTGCTTACACGACTTCAGGCCTCTTGGCTGCCTAGGGGAAATATCTTACTGACACCCTATTCCTGAAGCATAAAACAGTTCGACTTTGTTTCCAGGCCGCTTTGTAACATGGTTACTCGCAGTTCGGGCCTTGTCCTCTGTCTGGATACACTCCATTTATTTTAGTTTGGGTGAGCCTGGAAGAACGAAAAATCCCTCTGTCGGTCTGCAGAACTATGATAGTGTCTGGCTGTTATCTTCAATGTATAGCATCCCCTCCCCAATCCGCTGACACTCCTGTATTAACAACTCAGTTATATCAGCTACTGCATCTAGTGCGTATCTATCTACCTTACCCACAATCATCGGCTGCGTACAAATCCAAGGTTACCTAAGTTCACTTCCTTCAGTAGTCTAGGATAAAAGCTGTCCCTTCCCGTCACCCACTATGTTACCGACGTGCTGCTTTGAATTCTTCTCTCTTTTTCCGACCCCCCGGGGTTGAACTGCTCCAAGAGCCTTCGCCCACAGACATTGAATTGGTGGTGTGCTGACCATTGTATGTATGCTGACCATTGTATACAAACCGAATACTTCTGCCCCAAAGACAAGACTAGGTGAGATGAAACCGAATCTCATGCTTGTAGGCCAACCATTCAGAGTAGTTGTTAAATCCGTTCACTTGGACAGTTTTGTACTTTCGGATGAAGATATGATCACTTCTAGAGTAGGAAAGTTACTGGAAGTCTTTGACCATTTCCAGTGCGTATGAAATCGGTGTGACTTGGGTTTGTCTTTCATGGGTAGAATGTGCGGCGGTGTGACCTGTTCTACTGTAGAGATTGTGGATGTGACCTGTATGCTTAGACGGTATACGAAAGCTTCTGATGTTTGATCAGCTTTATCATAGAAGTACTGTCCGGGTCTGATGTGAATCTCCATCTAGCAGTACAGAGGAGCTACGGATGGTCCTTGGAAGAAGGGACTGCCCTCCGATGGACTAACTAACGACTTTTTGCACGTTGAGGTATCCATTTCGCGTTCCAGAGGACTATCCACCGGGCCCATCTAATAATCCAGTGGCTGAATGGAAATGTTCAAAATGCGGAGAATTAGTCCCATTCTTGCATCGAAGGCGTCTTGCGTTCAGTGGGTAACCGTTTGATTGTTTACTTCGGACAACAACAGCGGAACAAACAAAAAGGCAATGGACTCAGCGCTCGCTTGCTTATTTAGCTGCTTTATCCCTATTCTCCTATTTTCGGTGGTTAAAACTGGTAGCTGGAATAAACATGCCATTGATACGTTCTTCATAAATGGACAACACGAAGAGACTGGACCTTACCCTGGTGTGGAAATGGTAATCATTTGCATTTTCCGCCAGACACCGCTGCCTTGCGGTTAGGCTTTTGAGCCAAAGGCTTTGGTTGACGACCTTAATCATCCTCCTGTCTAGTTGTGGGCGCCGGGTCGCCTTACTTGCTGCATACAGCAGGGCGGGTAAGCGAAAACAGGCTACTGCTGACGCCTCCCTTCTTTCTCCTTCACATACTTTTCTTCCCCCTCTCCCCACCCCATTAATAACTCTCTCCTTGTAGGCCCAACACCTAGGACTGATGACTCCATTCGTCATGCAGCATCTGCTCGTCATATGGTGCCGACATCTTCAGGAATCTCCAAATCAGTCCTCAAGCCTCGACACCCAGTCTATCTGGCCGAGTTCAATGTCCGCACTCTGAAGCAAGTAGGACAACAAGCTGCTCTTGCACTCACACTGGACTCGCTTGGCATTGATGTGTGCTGTGTCTCAGAAACGAGAATTCAAGATGCAAGCACAGTGATTGAGTTAACCGCCCCGTCAGTCTCCACTCGCTTCCGGCTACGCACCTCTGGTGATCCAGAGGCTGCTGCGGTGGGATGTGCAGGGGTTGGTATTGTGCTAAGTCACCGGGTGGAAGCATCCTTACTTGAGTGGATACCTGTTGATGGTCGCCTCTGTGCGGTTCGTCTGGCAACGTCTGTGAAGGAGTCTCACAAGCGGCAAGTTGATAGATGTCTGTTTATCGTGTCTGCCTATGCCCCAACTGATTGTAGCACTGACACCGTCAAAGACAGGTTTTACGACGCCCTGAATGCTCTGCTGCGGCGAGCTAAAAGCTCAGACATCGTGGTGGTTGCCGGAGATATGAATGCGCAAGTGGACAGGCTCAGTGCATCTGAGGCTCAACTGGGAGGTCGACATGGACTGGACTCGGTACGTACGGACAATCGGGAACGATTGCTTCAGCTGTGTGATGATCGCAGGCTGTTTTTATGCAGTACTAACTCCCGAAATAGCCGAAGTCGTCTGGCCACTTGGTGTCCTCCAACAACAGGCCGGCCACAAACTCAA